GCTTTTAAAAAAAAATATGCAGTTGCATATTGCAAATTACATATTTTTTCTTGAAAGCAACTATGTGTTTTCTTTATTCCAATTGATTCGTCTCATTATTTTATGCATAAAAGTATTAAGGTAAGATTCCCGAAAATTGAATGTTTTACAAGATATTTTGTACTTTATGTCAAAATGCTGTAACTTTCAAGCCTTATAACTCGAAAAGTATTTAATGAAAAATAACTTCATTACAGTGTTTCGGAAACGTCTTGACACCAGCTTTAAGAATATGTAATAGAAAATAGAAGTTTCCATTTAAGATTTCAAAGTTAACCTTTGCGGTGTCCTTCAAGGTCACATGAAGGTCATTTCAATATAACCATATAATAGACCACTTGATATACTAAAACTTTTGTATTGAACATTTTCTTCCATAATCATTATTTTTCATGATATTTGACTGTTACGGAACTTTCTCCCATCACTGTATATATATTTAGTCGATTTTAGTCAATAAATGCTGTATTATATTTAAAAAATCGTTTTTGTATTTTTATTTTTCTAGACGTTTCCGCAAGTTACCGCTTTATATTTATACTTTGTATGGCCTATATTGCATGAAAAAATAATTTTAAGTCGAAATCGCATAAAATAAACTTTTAAGGGTTAGTGATGATATTATTTTGTGATGGAAATGTTATAAAGGACCCTAACGAATAAAAAGTAGCGTTGCTATGAGTCCATATACTTATAGTGAGGGTAGTTTTTAGGGTTACATAATTTGGTTGATACTAATTAGTTCAGTGGAGAGCATTTCAGTGTCTTAAGATTTAGGTAGGCGTAATTTTTGAGTCTAAGATGGACTGATGAATGACAGATGGAGAAACGGTTGTCCTAATTCTAGATTGCCTAGTTGGAGAATTAAAGTTCGATAGGGTCTAAATAGTCTATCTTCTAAGTTCTCATCTATCTTGGTTGACATTTTATAACTGTCGCTTGCCCTAATGTATTTAAAAGGTGTTCTAAAGTATTTAAACTTACTGAACACCTGCAGGGATTATCGGATTTCTTGCTTTCTCGCTTTCATTTTGGATATTTTACCGCGTACATTTGATCTATTCGGCAGGATTCCCTTTTAGTCGGAATCCATGAGTTAGAGATAGAAGTTGGCCAATGTATGACAATTTATCTTATATTTTATGGTTTGGAGGCGCTAGAGAGCCTAGCTTGGCCAAAATAAAATCACATTTTTGATGTTTTTAAATTGTAACAAGATTAAGTTCTGATCGGCCAAAAATAATTTAAATTATCGCCATTTATTACTTTTACTCGAAACTTCGTGAGAAAAGTCGAACTCACAAAATCCCATAGGAAATTTTGTCATTAAAATAATCCTTTTCAGAATTTTGGTCCTGTGCCGTGTTTATTAAGTCTGATATTTAGTATATTAGCCCATGAGAAAGAAAAAAAAATTGTGGAGTTTGATCAGGACGTAACACTACAGTTAATATAGTAATCATTATAATTCGCTATCATTCGATGTCAATACAAACATGCAGTTTTGACTTTAATTATATTGCACAATAATTATATTGCTGCTCATACGATATTATCCAACTTTTTTACAAGAAATCAGACAAGAAACTTTTTAAATTTTAGGATTTATTTAATTTTATAAATAATTTGCAGGACGGACCATTTCTGACATTTCGCTTGATATTGATAATCCACTATCAGATAGTCAGTTACATGAACATATTCTTCACATGCAAGAATACGCTTGTGATATTGCTACAGTTGTATCGACTTTATGTGGTACAAAGTGAAAATAAGGATAAACGAACAAACAAGAAATATAACAAAATAAAAATGTCAAATATCAGTATTATTTCCAGAGATGACATATATAAAGATGTAAGAATGAAAACTTTGCGAGATAATAATAGGTATAAAAGTCATCATGATAAGGACATGGAAGCGAATTATAGCGATACCGAGGACTCTATGGAGGATATCGATAAATTCGATTTATCTCCTAAAAATGTTACTTATTTCAAACGGTTGGTACACTTTCACTGCTTGCAAATTATTTTTACATGTAAAAAAATTAAAATATGTAAAAAGAGGAAATAATAGGAATTTATTTTGTAAAACTAAGTAGGGGAAGGTGGGGTAAGACGGACCCCCTAAGCGAAAATGGCTATATTTTTTATATTAATGACAAAAAATAACTGAAATTTAGCATGAAGAAACTGTAGAATGTTTATTATAAGATTATAATGTTAAATTTTCAAAATTTGCAAAAGTTTGAATTATTATTAAGATTTTTAAAAACTTAACTTTTGTCCGTTTTACCCCATGGGTGGGGTAAAATGGACCATCCCATGGGGTAAAACGGACCAAGCCGAGATAATATGGATCAAGAAATAATTTAACTGATTAACTCAAAATCAAAACTATATATTATTTATTAAATATTTTTGAATAAGAATAGAAATTAATTTAACATTGATCATTTTATTATACACACAAATCTTTAAAATAATTATAATCTTTATAATTTTTAACGTTTATATTAAATATAACATTAAATATAACATTTTAAAATAAAGCATGTAAATAAAGCATGTAAATAAAGCATGTAAATAAAATAAATAATTATTATAAAATCTGTTTTTATTTGGAGACATTATTTTCAATAAATTTCAAGTTTCTTCTACTTTTAACAGTGCGTTTTTTTATTTTTCATAGCTTTTTTCCAGTAAAAAAAAATGAAATATAAAATATTTCTCAAATCAGAGCAAATATATAAGCAGAAAACTATAAGTAGAAAGTATAAGTAGAAAATATAAGTAGAACAAATATATAAATTGGTCCGTTTTACCCCATTTAAATTGGTCCATTTTACCCCACATAACAACATTAATATTATCTTATTTTTATTTACCTGTATCAAAATTATTTTTAATGTAACTGATGAAATATTACTTCTAAATAACCAGAAATATGGAACTTGTAAAAAATTTAAAAATTTTAAGTTTTGCAATTTTAGTCACTTAAAATGTAATACTAAGAAATTAGATCACGAGATCTATTTGCAAGAATTTGACGTTTCTTTATAAATAACTTACGATAGTCTTATGATATAATGACGTAATTTTTAAACAGTTAAAAAGCATCAAAAAGGAAATTAATTTTATGTTTATCCAGCAGATAGAGGTACGTACTAATAAGATCTAGCAAATGGACCATTTTACCCCGCGGTCCGTCTTACCCCACCTTCCCCTATCTTAAAAGTTGAACTTTAAAAAAATATCTGATTTTTTCTATATCCTTATACATATATGTAACATTTTTATTTTTTTTTTTTGTATTTATTTATCTTTTTTTAACGGAGAATTAAGTTTTTTTATTTCTTGAACAAGAATTTTGATAAGAAAGAATATATGATAATTATTTTATGACAAATTATTTATGATAAATAATTTTCTTTTTTTCTATTTAGTGGTGGATTATAATTCTCTATATTTTATTACATAGAAAAAATTGAAAATATTCATTTTCTTATAGGAAGCTGTTAAATGCTGCTAGTATAGATTAAGGAAAGACTATAAATACATATTCAAAAATGTTAAAGATTAAAAATTAGAAGATCCTTATAGAATAACTTTATCTTTTAAACTATCTTTTCATTTTTGTAAAAGTTTTAAATTATTTTTAAACAAATTTTTTTTAAATGCAAACTATTGTAAATTTTGTATGAAAAAGCAAGATAAGTTAAAATAAATTAAAATTGTCAGATGTATTGACTGCAAAATAATTAAATATTTTAATATTAATTTTATATTTATTAAATAAATTATTTTAGGAGAAATCGCCAAGATACTGGATATTCAACGTCAAGTTCTCGCAATTCTAGCAAGCAGGACAAGTCACAAAAGCGAGAAGGAAGAAAATTGTCACATAGAGAAGAAATGAGATGTGGTGTTTTTGAAAATGAAAAATATAAGAGCAGAAGAGACAGAAAGTTTTATGAAAAAAGTAAAAAAAAATCAACGAAGAACAAGGATGACGATGATTCTTTAACCGAAAAAAGCTTTAACCGAAAGTTTGACATCGAAAATGAATCTTCTAATGAGAAGCTGACTGAAAGTAAAACTGTAAGCGAAGACAGTGAATTGGACTCTAATAGAAGGTAAACTTAACAGATTAATATAAAAGAACTGCATGTATAGGGAGGCTATTATAATTTGTGCTTAATTAATTCTAAAAAAAGAACAAAACCATGATTATGAATATAATTAAGGAAATAAAATGTGAAAGATTTTTTTATTCCGGAATCAGTCTTTTATGCAAACTATGACTGTTTCTAATTCCGAAACAAAAAAAAACTTTCACATTTTCTTTAGTGCTTAATTTTTTTCAAAAATAATTCTCAAAATATGAAGAAACTTTTAAGATGTTTTTTTCGACGATGATGACAATATATGAAAAGACATGGTCGTATCTCGTGCTAAGTTCACGCATAGCGCAACGAAGGACTGACCATATATTTGCACGCGAATCGACTAATGTGTGTAAGCTATATGTATAATATAACATACTCGAGTAAACTTTTAAAGCAGTGCTCGGAATTAGTTGAACATTTCGCCGATTTCCGCGGTATACGCCTCCTTTCCTCTCCTTACCGCGCGCGCCGCAGCCGCTAGAGCCAGCGTCGCCGAGCGTTAGTAGCGGCACTATCTGATTAGGTTCTGTGAGTAGATTCTTCTCCCTATTTATTAAAATTAACAAAAATTTATTAAAATTTATTAAAAATAAATTTTTATTTTTAAATTTATTAAGTGGAAATATTTCAATAGATTTCTACGTCACCCATGAGGTATTAATGCTAACACGTTTTTTAAAAAGTGGTTTCTATCTACATTATTGCATCAATTCTTCATTCTCATAAAAGGCCAAGAAAATCTAATTAAGAAAATCTCTTTTATATATTTTTTTTTTAAATTAAGAATTTATTTTTATCTTTAGTGGAATAGGTCTACGGGAGAAACCACTTAAAAAAAAACGCGTCAGCATTAGTATCTCATGGGTGACGTAAAAATCTATTGAAATATTTCCACTTAATAAATTTAAAATAAAAATTTATTTTTAATAAATTTTAATACATTTTTTAAAATTTTAATAAATAGGGAGAAGAACCAACACCATCTATAGATAAGGCCTCTCCACTGAAATCATGACGTCATCACTAGTAGGCCATTTATCCTTTAGTTTTCTAACGTAACCTTGTGTTTCATGCGACATTAACGTGAATTTTTTAATAGTGTAGTGTGTTTTGATAAGAATTTTTTGTTGTGGATAGTTGATGAATGCCTGTATTATTGAGGTAAGTCATAATTTTATTAATTTACCGAATTATGAACGTATTTAGAAAACTGACCATAATAGATTAGATTTGGATCATACTTCTTTATTATTGAAATTATGTATTTCTTTTATAGCAATGCCTTTCAAATGTTGTGTGCCAAATTGTAACGGCAATTACAAAAATGTTAATTATAAAAATTACGCATATACACTCTCTAACATCCTTTTAAACAATTATACAAAAAGACAAAATGATATCATAAGAAGAAAAACAATGCCAGACTGCAAAAGAATGAAACCATAAACTAAAGCTGTTTTATTATTTTATTCAAAGAA